ATTGTCGCTAATCTGACCAAGGATACCACTGAAGTCGAGGGCTGGAGCAGGGGCAGGGTGGCATTGGCTGCAGCAGCAAGGACGAAGGAAGCGACGAAGAAGCACATAATGGTGTGACTAAAGAAGGAGGGGGTCCGGAATTATTGAATATGAGGGGAACTGGAGGTGGGAGGAGCATCAAGCTGCCTTAGAGGTGAAGACATACCTGGTCTGACATTTGCAACTGACTGGTCTTTGGCGGAATTTCGAAACTCTGTCCAGCAGCAGAGGCAGCAAACAAGTTTGTACATATTATTCCCCTTGAGCTAAACACGGAATTAACAAATGCAATGCTGATCGACATGTATATGCAAAATGACGCTGTAACATTGAAGAAAGTTTGGTATTTTTCTTTCTTAAACAACGGCACAAATGTACTTTTTGAATGAACTGTAAAATTTCAGCAGAAAGCAAGCAGCACTATGTTCTATTCATGAAAGCTGAGACAGCGAGTTGACGCCAAGGATGGCCAGTGCCGACTGAGGATTCTTCAGGACAGCCTCGATGTACTACGAGTTGGCCAGGAGGGTCTTGGCAGGGAAGGGTCTGCTTCATTTTCTCCAGAAGCTTCGGGTCCAAGATGATCTTGATCAGGTTCTGCACATTAGCCTTGATCGGCGAGATGGCAGCGGATGGCTTGGTAGCGTCGGCACCGTTGGGGCTCACCGAGGGATTAGCACGGTTCTGTCCAGCTGAGGCGTCGACCGAACCAACATTGGCAATGACGCCGCTAGGCGTAGCATTGACATCGACAGGATCAGCTTTAGCATCAGCATCATCCCGGTTCACATCAGTAGCAGTAGTGCTGGGTGAAGTAGCAGCGTGGACAGGGGGAGCCGAGGCAGAAACAGTATCGGAGGCGGCAACAGCAGCCGCATGGCCTGCGTTGGCAGCAGCACCGTTCGAGGAGGTACCAGCAACAATATTGGTGAGGTCAGCATGGTTACCGAGCTCAAGGGGCATGGCAGTGGCGGCAAGAAAGAACGAGGCAACGAAGAAACGCATATTGGGTGCAAAGTCGTGACTAGAAAAGGGGAAGGGAGGTATTAGCGTATGAGGAGAGCGTGCGTGATTGCAGAAGGGGAGAACGTGTAGAGTAATCTGTAGATGGGGTGTTTGGTTGGCCTAGTTCCTAGACCGTGAAGTCGTTTATATATGCGACCGGTACCGATTCATTTGCACCGGAAACTGTTGGGGAGCACCTAGCATAGTGCACACATTTGTTGTTCATTTGGAAGGCTATAGTTAAGCTGTGTTCAGTATGCGAATATGACGTTTAGCGCATAAACAGAAGACAAAGAGGCCGTTTTTTGCATGGAGAGATCAGCGTATATAGCACCAAGGTTCGTTCTATCAGCAAACGCCAGTCCCAATAGGAAACACACACACACACACCAATAGACAAGTACTGAAGGCTGGTCGACATGCCGACACCACTCAGCCGTTGGTTTTAGCTGTACTTTAGCATGCATATCATATTTTGCTGATATTCGGGCTGCATATGGCAAAGTCAAATAAGCTTCTGCAGACGCTGGCTCACTTTATTTCTCTGACCAAACAAGGAGCTGCAGTTCTGAGCAGGCTAGTTGCAAATAGGGATTGTGATTCTCGCTAGTTTGGACTTTTGTTGTTTCGGTCTGCTGGTCGCTCCGTATACGAGAGACGGCTAAAGGGGGCAGGATGTTTAAAACGGATGTGACCCGGTCTGGTGGAGTAGCAATCGATGCAGGCTGGCATCTCACCATGCAAGTGTTTTGTTGTGCAAATGTCGTCACTATCGACTGGTGTCAGATGCTTGTAAGCTGGAAAGAGTAGAAAAATGGCGGCCATTCTGCCTTGCAAATCCCTAGTGGTGCATTCTGCTTCAGCCAGGTGACAACGAGCTACAGACAAAGTAGGTTCTTTTGGCTACTGAACCTCTCACACAACAAGCAGCCCATGTCGTTGTGGCATTTTGGAGGTATAATATATTTGCCAAATTTCCCTCAGAAGAGTTAGAGATATTGGAGCGCTGTGACAACGCCAGCAGCTCACAGACATGCAGGGTAACGTGGTTGGAATACGAGCGCTGTCTATCCGGGCGCCTGCCTCCGGCTCCACGCATGTGAGTCCCGGGGCTTGCTGGCCCGAGAGCATGTCGTGGTCCTGCTCATACATCTGCTCAATCACTCGTGAGGTGGTACAAATGTCTTTGGGATCTTCCTGATTGTCTCCTCTCGCCTCTGGTTCATCTTGCGCTCCTCAAGGCGCTTGTTGTATTCACGGCGGCTCAGCGACGAGCCTCCTGCCAAGCTGGCGCTAATCAGCGGGATCTGCATAGGCAGCGAGCCAACAATTGCATTGGCAGTGATGCTGGGAGCATCGGTGCGCTGGGGCATGTTCAGGCCAGGCGAACCAAAGTGGCCAAAAACCGCGCTCCTCGGCAGCAGCAATTGACGAGTCATCATCAGCATCTGGATCCTCCGAGAAATCGTCAGACTGGTGGCTCGTGTTGCGGCGGCCGAATCCAGGAATCGCCGAGTGATACTGCTGCCCAGGTGTCCTGAAAATCGTCATCTAGATCAAACACATCGTGGTCATCGACCTCGACAGATGGAATGCTGCCGAGGGCACCGCGGCTACCTATATTGCGCGGTCCGGTGCGCCCCAGTGTGCTGCTCAGTCCGGCTTGGGCCACCTTTGCTGTTTCCACGCAGGATGGCTGACAGTCCAGACGACCCAACTGATCCCCTGCGTGCAGAGGTGGGTAGTGTGGGCGACTGGGGGTTGATGCGGTTGGCCAGCTCGGCCACGATAGCACACTCGCTCCAGGCGCGGTTGCTGAGTTTGTCAAATGCTTCATCCTGCTTGCTCGTAAACTCGCGGATCCGCTCATACTTTGCCGACTCCTCGCTTTTCAGGTACTCCTGGGTACTGCTCTTGATGTCGAGAGGGATGTGGATGTTTGGGGTTGGGGCGTACGTCCGCCTATAATTTTGGGCGTCAGAAGCATACCAAAGGCAGGCGGAGTAGTCTGCCAGCTTTTCTGCCTCCTCGACCTGGTTGGGGGTCTTACGTAAATATAGTGATGGCAGTAAAGGGAAGCAGGGTGTTGAGTTGGCAGGTTGCTGGTACAATAGACGAGGTGGTTTGTGTGGAGTTATTGTTGCTCGCAGACTTACCATTGCCCCGCTGTCCAGGAACACAGGGCTCCCGGTCAATGGGAGTTTTGCTTGCTGCTGGCCTAACGATATGACCGATGATGACGGGGTCGGCTGCGGGATTCGGAAATAGATGACCGGCGATTTGCACACCAGGCACCGAACGACGCTGATGCTGCGGTCAATTGATGATGCCGGCTTGATCTCCAGCAGCTTTCCCTGGGCGACCTGCACTGCTTTTGCGGCAAGGCGGCACTCCCGGACCCCAGTAATATCCTCCAGCGATGTCTGCTGCTCGGCGATGCTGGCTGCGTGTATGCGCACATTGAGACAGGCACAGCTGTAAATGCGCTGTGGCTGGTCCATGGCTGACGGGGTATTCCGAATTAGAAAATGCAAAAAATTGAGAGTATAATTCTGAGGATTGTGAAGAGACAAGCCAAGAAAGTCACACCAGTCAGAGCCAAAAAAGCGAGCAAATGCGAGATGCCCACACCAGTTGGGATCAGGGGAGGGTTGGATCAGCATATCAAATCAAAACAGAGAATGAGCAGGGTGTGGGAGCCAACGGGATGTGGGCCAGTTTTCTGCGTCTCCTCCCTGGGATCCATGTAGAAAGAGTCGGCGTGGTAGAAACCAGCATGGCTGGCAGTCTTGGCAGCTGCATAAAAGTGCGGCCGAAACATAGCCAGCGATCGTCCGGGTGCAAAGCCATTTCCATTTGTGCTTGCAGGCAGGGTGGTCCAAGTAGCAGAAAAGCAAAGAGGGACCACCATGCACTGGATGGTGATAATTGGCGATTATCCACCACCACCACAACATGGAAAAATTAAGCCATGTGTGAGCATGTACGAATGGGGTCAACTGCGAAGGCATTTTCCACAGCCTATCCTGGCTGCCAGCCTGTGTACCCACGAGGGGCCAGTGCGTCGACAGCTTTTGTCTTTCTGGAAAGCTCGGCCTGGCCCTTCGCTACCGGAAGCACCGAAAACAAAAGGGCCAGCAGGCGCTTGCTTGCTGAGGCACGACCCAGCGAGTACATGTTTTCCGGAGTGGAGGCCACTGCCCTGCTTGGCAACAGCAGTCCATTCAGACACGTATTCTCCGAGTAAGAAAAAATACTGCAGCAGCCGGGGACAAACACGCGTCATGTAATATCTGCTGGCAGGCATCGTCCATGGGATGTACGGTTTTCTAGAAGGTTGTGCCGGATTGTGCGTTTTGGCAAAAGGAGGAAAACAATTTATGTGGCTCGCGAACAAGTGACACGGATGCTTTTTTACTGCTTTCAGTGCCTCACAACTTTCTTTGCGTTTAAAAGAGCAGTGTTCAGCACCCATCAGAAAAACCATTCGAGCACTTCTTCCCTGCACCCTCGTTTCTTCTGAAATATTCGCGTGTACCCTTCCTTCCATTTTCCCGGAAACTACTGAAAAATACCAGCATTTTTCATCGCCTCCGTGTTTAGTGTTTCGAAACAGCTTTCCATCTTTGGGAACAACCCGCACCCCCTTAAAATCCATACATGAGTTCAGTTGCGGAAATACAGAGCAACCTCTTGACCCGCGGAGGGCGGGGTGACCGTTTCCGCAGGACCTACCATTGTAGGCTCGCAGGCATTTGTAACCCAGTCACCGGTCATAGTGTCATCCAACTCATCACCACACCAACGCACATCGCCAGCGCAGCGACAAGGTAATGGGCGCGCCACGTTGGATGGACCTACCAATCACCACGCATTTCTGCTCGTCGTGCAAGAAGCGCATGCCGTTCGATGCCTTCCAGCGCAGACAGAACGGCAGCCTGTACAATACGTGCATCAGCTGTCTGACAAAGACCAAGCAGCGCAAAGGCCAGCAGGCCCGGGCTAGCTCTAATGGTGCATCACAGCAGCGTCAACAGCAGCAGCAACAGCAACAGCAACAGCCACAGCAGCAACAGCAACAGCAACAATCTCAACAGCAGCAGCCACAACAGGTAGCGGGGATTAGCGTAATGGGGGACGACTCTGTGCTGGCCGATCAGCCGCGACACCAGTTAACACCTGAGGAGATAGCGCTGTCATCGACCACTGCCGCAGCCATCCAACAAGGTAAGCGATCTTAGGTGTGTTGTTGGGTGCAGCACCGAAAGTATGACAAGCTGATCCCAAACTCCTTTCACCTCCTTGGAATGTTCGGGCCGTCTGGGCACAGAAAACGGATGTGAAAAATGGCGCTCAGCAGCACGATTTTCAGTGTCCTCCTCTCCCTCCCTTTTCTGTGTGGTTGAGCTCGAATATGTTCAGCAACTGGATATGTCCTTTTACGAAGAGGCTGCTGTTGCTGAAAATCCATCCCTCCACTATTCGCCTTCAGACTTGCTGACCAAAGGGGGATCTGCATCCTGTCTGCACATGATGGCAGCAGCAGCAAAGAAATATTTTTGTGAAGGAATTGCCGGACAGGCTGATATGATTTGTGCTCCGACACGGCGACATGACCGAGGCAGTGCATAAATACCGGATTTAAACACACACACACACATGCATACATACATACAAATCAATCCTCATGTAGATGGGCTTGTTGCCGCCGCCGCGATTGCTGCAGCTGCAGCCGCCAACACCCACACAGTGCAGGCGCTTCAGAGAGCTGGCCTCTCAATGGACACGTCGCCCGCAACGACCACCACAGCGGGGTTTACAGCACAGCCCACGCAGCTTGCATTTGCCCGAACCCCGTCCTCGCACACCGACAGCGCCTACCGCGCCGCACGCGCAATGGCCAATATCCCTGCCACCACGGCAACCGACGAACTGGGGATCACGACATCTGTCGGTGCATCGTCGATTATGAGCGCCCAGCGGATGCTCGGGCCCTCGCC